TGTATGACTAAGCTCCTGCATATATGCCAAGTGGTTTTGTATGACTAGCTTCCAATGTTTCAGGGTCTCCTGACCTGTCATCTTTGGGTCTCGAATGGTGCCGAGTCGCTGGGTCTCGCGGAGCGGAGACGAGGGGACGGGCTCGGGTCTTTCGGCACTCGGCCCTGGCCGCCTGCCTTGGTCAACTGTTAAAGCAAGTCTTCTGGGGGTCATGATGGTTTTACCCAAGGGCGACATGCATACCCTGCGCAGTAACATACGTATATATACCTCCTAGAAAATGATTAAACAATAAGAAACACAGATTGTCCTGGTGGGGACAATCCTCAGGCGAGGTTCAAAAAAACAACACAACAAATTAAGTGTGGTGTCGAACTTTCTGCGCCAAATTTTCCGGCGAGGCGGAAATACACACGTTTAGGGTCCAGGTATATTATATAAGCATAGCAATGCGCACAGATAGCTTCAACTTTGATGGGTGCCGTGCTGCCAAGCGCTGCTAAGGTACCTTTGAGCCCTTCAACTGCCATGCAGATCCGGTTGAGGACTGGCCAGTGCAGAAGCAGATTTGGTGCTGTCGAACCAAGGACTGCCCCTGCCCCTGTGGGACGGAACATGCAGAGTTCCCATGTTCCACGGTGTTCTTATTTCATTGCCGGTGTGGTTCGCCCAGAACTTCACACGATGACCAGGCCAGGGTACTTCATGCTTTAGAGTCAGAACTGGACTCTCAGGCTCCATCGGTCGATGGGTCCGACCGTGGACCGACCGAAATGTTTGGAAACGTGGGGAATGGGAGACTTCATGCTGAGGCACCGGAAAAACCAAACAACTAAAACATCGACCCTAGGGATCCAAGTACCTTCTCAGAAGGTGATTGGAGACTATTTAAGTAGGCTTGGAGGGTCCAATTACCTTCTGAGAAGGTATGTGGATCCCTATAGGGATCGATGGTTCCCGTTTCTTGTTAACTGTTATGGGGTATGGTTTGAATCACGGGAAGAAGCCGGGCCTTTGTTGCTTGGATAACCCGGTCCACCGGTCCCAGGAGTTGGGGTGTCCGTTGCGCCGAACGAGCTCCGCTCCCTTCGACTGCACGACCCGCGACGAGTGGGCACCGGTGAAGGCGCAGTGGTGTTGCTGGAACATGAAGGTGCCACGGCCGAGGAAGACGAGGAGTTCCACTGAGTTCCACTGAGTCCCCGAACCCCGAACCAACCACCCCACCCGTGACCCACGTGACCCGAACGCAGCCCTCGTGAAGACGTGGGTGGGGTCTCCCCCTCTCCGCCGTCCCATGGAGTGCTGTAAGAGTTTGCTTCGGGTCACCGAGGTGAGGCCCGCTTGCCATGGAGGGCCCGTTTTCGGATTCTGAGAGGATTCTGAAGGAAACGAATAGCAGATGGAAAACGCGATGTGATGCCCAAATGTTCTCCGGATGCAGTTGCATCTGCACAGATCACATGGAACTGGACGGGCTCAGGAACCCTCGTTCACCTTGATTTTGGTACCAAAAATCTCTCCGGTTTTGGCTGTTGCCGAAACATGAGCAGACACACATACAGACACGATCAGACATGTATAAGTTGCAAGATGTTACAAGTGTTTTGTATGTTTTTGTTTGTTGTTGTGTGTTTTTAAACATAGTTTTACATATTGTGCAGTATTGATTGATGCTTCTTGACAACATTCTTGTTGGTAGCTACCAAGGGCTACAGAGTTTATCTTCCTGACAAAAGCTGCCACCCTTGAGAAACTCGCGTCCCACATCTAGCACATTCTAGCACCATGCGATGGTGCTTGGCTGGGAGCCCTTGAAGTTCTCTCATTGAGGTGGGGTGCCCGGAATTCGATTGTGAAGACGGCTATTCCAATTGGAAAATGGGCTCCTCGCCCGACACTGTGACTGGCACTGGCAGAACGAATCGGAATTCTTCAGGCTCCAAGTACTCGAGATGCTAGGGGAGTCTGTTTGGGGTGAGTTCTAGGGGGTTCTGTTTGTCCCTATATACCAAATATGATAGAAAAGTAGATTCCCACTAAGAATGTATCGGAAAGTGTTTCTGGGGACCACTATATACTGAAGATGCACGAACGGAGCCTGAACGCTGAGACTGGGAGTTCTGGACGAAAGGGTTGGACTCATGGACCCAAAAGCTTGCTTCCGACCCAAACCCGCGCGAGGTTTGAGCCGAGGTTTGATAGACCAACGCAATAGCTGCGTGGCTCTCTTAAGACTAGAGGTGATCTTCATCCATGCTGGAGGCAATGGGGGGGCTACAGAAACATCATCCACTAAAAAAATATGCTACATTGTGGTCCTGGTATAACAGACTTCAGGAGCCTGGCATGAAAACGACTACTGCCGGTTCTATAAGTTTATGATAGTTTATGTAATGTACTTTTGATGTAGTATAGCTATTTGTTGGACTGGGGTAGTTCAGCATTCAGCATCAGGTAACTGGAATCACTGAATGGTTAGATTCTAGGTGTGCAACATTTACCTCCAATTTACTGATAGTTACCCATGAACGGGCCCCCCCCAAAAAATAGGCGCCCCAGTCCCAAGGCTCCCGGCAATCTGCTCCGCCACAGCTTTACACAATCTAATTCCACACCGAAAATGGCAAGTAAGTGGTCCTCGAAGCTGATGGGGGTTTAACATGGGTTCAAACGCTAAAAACCTGGCTTCAGCGAGGCTTCAGCGAGCGCAAGAAGCGCTACTGTTGCGAGCACTTTGGCATGGCCTGTGAGGAGAAGTTCGAAGAAGCGGAGCACTATAGGCACCGCGGAATGCACACGCATTTTTTGCAGACGAAGTGCTTCGTGTCATCCATAAGGATGGCCGACCTACTTTAGGGTCATAAGTCGCAAATGTATAGTTGCTCAATGCCGGCCCTGGTGCCGGCCATGGACGTAGTGCTTCGTCTCGGCAAACGCCATGTGTTGGGTTTGTTGCGCACCGGTGGTGGTGGGTGAAAGAAGCCATGGGACAGCGAATTATAAGCCGTTACATGACTGGTGGATTTTAGGTGAATGTCGGCCATAATTGCTGTCCTGTGATGTTTGTTTTATTTTTGGGGGGCACTTGTGACATATCCATCCAGATCCATCTACCAGCAGCTGATGAAAAACTCTGATTCAACCTCCACCCTATAGGGATCCTTGCTTTAGTATCTCCGTTTTGGTACGGTGATCTGTTGTCTCCCCGGTGATCTGTTGGGTGCCGGTTCGGATCCCCAAACGGGCCGGATCCGCGCTTCGCTCGCAGAGAGCGCGCGCTCGCTGCGTCCCGCGCTGGCTCCGCAGGTGCCGGGGCGATCCGGAAGAGTGGTCCATCGACGAAAAGCAGTGGTGCTGCTTAGTGGAGCATCGTGGCTTGGCGATGTGCTAGGACGTAGACGGCTTTTCGAACACGTGGGGTTTGGCGCGCTGCGAGACCGAGGTGGGGTTTGGCGAGGTGCGGAATTTGGGGCTGGTGGGGGCTTGCTTGTTGTGCTGCACCAGTGAGGTTTTGTTTGGTGGGTGCTGGTCGCTCGTGCTTCAGTTTGGGAGAGAGAGACTGGGCAGGCTGGAAGAACAAATATAATAACCGAATCCAAATGGTTTACCCCCTGGAAGACTAACATGGAGATCAAGGAGCATGGAGATCATGGAGATCAATCTTCCCTTCGCGCCATTGTTCAGCCTAGCACTTCCAATGGGTAGGGTAGTCTATTGGACACCCAGGTCCAGGATGACCCTGGAGGGTTTATTAATGTTCGTTTTCAGGAGAGTGCTGTGGATGCTTGCCTGAGCGGACCTGGGTCAGACGGGTTCGACGTGAAGAGTCCTTGGTGGGTGACTGCAATCCCGGTCACGTCAGAAGGGTGTGGTAGGGTTCTCGTCAAGGTACTGGGACACCTGAAACTCCGAATTTCCAACTTCCATGTTCGGATAGAGGATGCAACCATGTGCAAGCGGAGGAAGACGCGGAAACCATTTGGAACGCGCTGAGGCGTGAAGCTCTTGAGGGATTGGTTAAACTCGAGGGGGTGAAGAAAGTGAGTGAGGAGTTCGAAAGGGATGCTGAATGGAGGATTCGAAAGGGATGCTGAATGGAGGATAAGGGTGCCCAGAACATCCAGTCACTCAGGGACTAAACACTACCCACTTGTGACTCCTGGAGTAGTAGAGCCCAACAATTGGCCAAAGAAAGGTGCACATGGACGTGACTTTGTATTGAGGCAGCTAGTCTTCCAAAGGTCCATGTTCAGGTTCCATGTTAATCTTCCAGTGTGTAAATCATATTCAAATCCCTAGGGCTCCAAGCACCTTCTAAGAAGGTGTTTGGGGTGGGTTTTGAGGTCCAAATACCTTCTGAGCAGGTACGACTGGAGCCCTAGGGAATATGTTTACACCATTTAACACACATGCCATGGTTACATGCCAGCACCCGAAACCAACAGGTCTTCTTCCTGGTGGCTTTTGGCAAAAGTGGCAGGTGACCTGTTGGATGAGGCGGCTGGTAGTTATGTTAGCCACCGGTTTCCAAGAGAGGTCAAGTGACCTGAACTAGGACCCGTAACCTGGGGGACCCATAGGATAGCTGAACTAGGGACTATAGGGTTCTTCAACCTTTGTTGGTTTCTTCCCCGGTCCAAGCGGCCCAACCTCCGACCAAACGGCCTACCAGGTGGCTGCTTGAGCGAAGTGGAAGAAGAGCTCGAGGCGACCTACGACTGCTCCATGAGCGCTTTGTCCACTGCGAGCCTTCAGCAGAGCACCTGGTGTTGCTTTGAGAAGGGCATCGGTTGTGAGGTGGACGCTGGAGCTTATTAGGGGAGGGAGGCGGGTCGAGTCGGATGGACAGGGCACAAGGGATGATATGCATACACCCCGGAAGAAGACGATCCCATGGACCCTGAGTACTACCACGTCGGTTGGTAGAGGAGCCTACACTCGGACCCAGGGGGGCCAGCCAGGACCCGGGTCTATGTGAGTGGACTCGGGAGTGTATACTCTGATGGAAAAGCAGATTCCAGTCCACTTGTTGATCGACCAAGATGTTGCGACCCGCGATTTGGTATGATTTTGCTCGCGATATAGGCGCGATAGCTCTTGCGCATTCTTGCCACTCTGCAGATGGCAGACCAAATATCACAGACACCTATAGCTCGTTTAGATTCCTGTCTAGAAATCTGATCACAAATGGAGCTGGAGGAGTTGTGCCATCCAGCTTTGAAGTCGTTGAAAGGAAGGACTGAACGGCTGAGAGCGAATCTTCGGACGCTCCTGTCGCACCTTCTAAGAAGGTGTTTGAGGTGGGTGCCAGGAGGGTCCAGTCATACCTTCAGAGGAGGTACGACTGGAGCCCTAGGGACTGGTGAGAAGTCTCTCCATGTCTCTCCATGTCTCGATTCCCAAATGTTCCACGGTATTTCAGGATCCGCCCTCCGCCGCTAGCTCGGCGGAGGGGCAGTCGATTTCCGCTGTCCGAAACGCCCCCCGAAACGCTGTCCTCGGCTGCGAGGAAATGGCCGACGGCCCGTCGGACGCAACGGACTCCTTGTGAGTTGTAGAGTGACTGGCCCTAAACCCTTCCAAAAGTGGTGGCAAGTGTGCTCCAAAGGTCTCGGGCGAGTTCGTGAGTTACCTATGTTCCATACGGTTCCAGTGATATTACACTTTTGACATCCAAGCCTAAGCCTACCAGGCAAATGCTGTGGAACCAAGGAATCGTTAGCTGGCAATCAATGGCAGCAGGCGCAGGTGCAGGTGGAGGAGGAAGATGATTCTTCCTTCTACTTCGTCACTTGGGCGGAAAAAGATCACCCAGGTGGTCCCGCATTCTGTTCCTTCTGGGTCTTGTGGGATCTTCCGAGTCATCCTGGATGATTCCCTTTGGGGTTCATCACCCTCCAACCCTCATGTCACCTAGTGTCACCGTCCACCCCCTTGTTGTGTCGGACGTCGCATTGACCGTTGCGGCGCGCGGAAATGACGCGCGCGCGGAAAGCGTGTCGCGCGTTGCGTTCCTCGCGTTCCTCGCGGAAGGCGCGACGCGCTGCGTCATGCGAAGCTCGCGATGCCTTTCGCGGAGGTCTTGCTGCTTTTGATTCTGCTGGTGATGCTCATCTACAACCGCGCCAAGGGTTCCTGTGAGTCCCGAAATCGACGGACCTGGAGCTTTGGACCCTCCCCACAAGGCACCGCCTATGGCCGAGGCGGGCGAGAGGGGGTGGAGAGAAAATGAGAGGTGCCATGTTGCTTTGTAGTTTCCCGAACTGGGTATAAATCCCCTGGCATGGGGAATATCTAATATGTTGTGTTGTGTGTGTTTCTTTTTAAAAAAATGTGTGTGTTGTTTTGTTTTTTTGAACTCGCTTTCTGGACAGCAATCCAAGAAAGTGTTTTGATCTACAGGCAGGAAGATTAACAGATTAACATGGAACTCGAAAATGGACCGAAATGGAAGACTATATAAGACGATTTTCCAGTACAGCCCAGGGATTTTCAGGTTCCATGTCATGTTCATCGTTGTTCCAAAGGAGGAAGCTCGTGCTGAGTGCCGCACTCGGTGAAGGAGGGAGAGTCTCAAGAGCTCAGGCAGCGATCCTTTCCAAAACAATGAGAGAAACAGGCTGATGTGCCGGTCAAAAGCTCATGCATGAAACTATCCTCCCAGTTGTTTTTCAATTATACAGATGTTTTTGACTTGTGTTATATACCAGCAGTCACATGTCGGGGTGCGATCCATGGAGGAAGTCGGGGTGCCCAGTATTCACTCACTGGATGGGACGAGCCACACCACCCCGTACGAACGTGACTCCTGGTATGTCTTGTTTGGATTTGATCCGATCCATTGCGGCGCCCTATTGTCGCTTGGTGAGGTGATTGGAAACCTGAGAACTGCAAGGATTCTTCAATGATTTTAGGGGGCCACCCGGAGCAGCCCGAATGTGGATGTGTGTGTAGTGTGCAAAGGATCACCCAGGCTACTCGGGACCTTTCTTTTTTTTCTGGACTGCACAGTTGTTGCATCATGTGTTTCACCCTGGGAGATGGTGATTTTTTCACCGGCATAGGGAAAGAGCATTCCTCAAGTATATAGATCTTTCACTGAGAGGTGGGAGATGGGGAGCTCCACATGCCTAGCTCTTTGTTTAGAATCGTGAAGTGCCTGCGATTAGAGAGGTAGCGCACACCCTCTCACACACACTATATGATTGCGTTTGTAGCATCTATGTTTGTAGGGGGAGGTTCAGGTTGATGTGGCACACACACACACACCCGAAAGAATGAAAGAACGCCAGTCCGGTGACGCATTCAAAAAGGCTAACTGGAGTTCTTTTTTGGACCGATGGGTACCAATCCAGGTACTTAGGGTGAGTTTTATAGGGCGACCGTGGCCAACAGCTTAATACCTCCTACACGGTGCGCCCGCCAGGCGTCTACTCCGCCTTGGGCTCCCGTTATACTCCACCCAGCCTACCGTGACGGCGAACCAGTGCAGCTCGGTGGCAGGAAGGCATTCCACTTGGGGTCATAGAGGGTCTATGCTTGTTGACCCCAACAAAGCATCATTTCAAGGGCCCACCATTGAGATGGGGTGTTTCTTTTTTGGATATTGTTGGACCCCATGTACATGCAGTGCCTACTTTAACCACATTAACTATATTGAACTATATTGAACTTATTATGGGCCGGAGTGATCAAGAAGCAGGTGGGAGATGGGAGAAATGACCACCTGGTGCTAGGTGGGTGGGGGTGAACCATGCATGTTTTTTCCACTGCGCCTGGGGCTTTTAAACCTTAAATCATTGAACATGACTTCCATGGCCTGGACATCAAGCAAATCTCTTGCGACATCAACGCTTTTGAAACCTGACAAAAACCTGTTAGCATGGGCACAAGCAACCATGAGCAAGCAAGGATTTGATGTTGCGGTGGGCTTCTTCCCTCTTCCACCCGATCGCGAGCCCTCCGGGAGGCCTCCAAACGCTTCGCCCCGCTCTTGCCGTTGCGACAAACAGCGGAGAACAAAAAGGGAGAGAGACCGCAGGAAACACAGACTCATGGGACTGGCATATACCTACCAAGAGAGGTTGAGAGACCAGAACTAGGACCCTGGTCTGTGGTACATATGGGATGGGCGACAAAGGGCTGTTCAACCTCTGGTGAGATGGACTGAGGTTGGATCTTGTCCCTAGGCTTCCAAGTACCTCCTCAGAAGGTGGGACTGGGGTGGGTTTCAAGGGTCCAGTCATACCTTCGTTTCGGAGGTACGACTGGAGTCCTAGGGATATACATTGACCCCCCGGGTGAACCACCCCAATTGATCGGCAGTCCGTCATGGCAGTCCCAAACAGGTCGTGTTTGGGCGCCATGTGTCGTAGTAGTGTCGCGTGTCTCCAGTTGCGACCTTAGCTTTCTTTGGGCGACCGGCGGTGGTGCGCACCGAAGATGCGCGGCGCGTGGAGGACCTGAAACTGCACCGATGACTGGACAAAGACTCCGGCACCGTGCCTCATGGACCCTATGGATTCACCGGTGTTTTTCCAGCACCGGAAGCGACCTCGGGGTCACCTGGCTGGTTTCGCTCGCCCCAGCCTACTATCCGGGTGTTCTCGGGCGTGGTGACTGGGGGGTCCATTTGCGGGGCTCTGGCGGTTAGGGACGGTTGGGGGGGTGGTTGCAATACCGCTAAGAAGAATGATCAATCAAGAGCTTTTTCATAGAGCTGCCTTACAGTAATAATATCTCATTTCCCAGACACGACCTGTTTGGGACTGCCATTTTTTGCCGCCCCAGACAGACCCCAAACCCACCCCTGGCCGTGCCACTCGGTAGTCCGTCCTGGCAGTCCCAGACAGGCTGTGTTTGGGTTTGGTCAAGTGGATGGAGTGGCGAGTCACGTGACGGATTGACACTCGGCTTGCCGCAACCCCGGTTGAAGATGCCGAGCTCAGATGTTGCAACCCCTTTGAGGGCAGAACCGAACCTACGCCAAAAGCGAGCTCGATCATCCTGATAGAAGAGTTCAGTTGCTGCAACACGTTCCCTAGGCACCTCCTCAGAAGGTATGACTGGACCAGCCTGGCACCCACCCCAAACACCTTCTTAGAAGGTGCTTGGAGGTGTAGGGGTTTGTTCAAACTGGTTGATTCAGAAGTCTCGGCCAAGGTGGCCGAGAGCATTCAACCTATTTCCATGCAGGGAGGCTGGGTGAGTTTACAAACCCGCAGGCACCACAGATGGAGGCACCGTCCTACTAATGTAAACGACTCTGGATAAACCATATGAAGAGGAGGTTTTGTTAATTGATCAAGAGTACAGATGGCAACACCCCAAACCAATAAGGGGTGGGTTTCTATTTAATCAAGAGCACCCTTCGTGATCACAACCCAATCACCAAGAGTTCAAACCCCCATCACCCTCCAAACAGACCCATTTGGCTGGAAGAGCCAACTCCCTTTCCCTAACCCTCCAGTCATACCATGTCATACCTGCTCGGGTACGGGTGTTTTCATGGACCGCACCCGAAAACCTGGGCACCCAGGCCCAGGACGGTCCAAGGCGCCAGGTGGTCACATCCCGAGATGGATATCCAAGAGAGGTCAAGTGACCTGAACTAGGACCCGTAATTACTGGGGGGACCCATAGGATGGCCATGGATAGCCGAACTAGGGTTCTTCAACCTCTGTTGGTTCTTCCCATCGGATAGCGGATAGCCGAACTGGCTTACTACGTCGGGTTCTTCCACCTCTGTTAATAGCAGCATGGAACTGCTGCTCGACGTTGGCCTTTTGGCTTCATTTCCGTCAGGCCTGACATGCGTCCACCCACGCGCGGACGAGGCCGATGGGACCGGTGGATGGGACCGGGAGCGGCAGGACCGGTGGATTGGGAGGGTTGTCGTTAGACACGCGCTGGTTTGTTTCCATTTGTTTGTTTAAAGAGTCCATGGATGTCCATATAGTTTGGAATTGAACAGCTCACTCTTGATGGACTCTTGCCAAAAGCTTTGTGCATGACGTTGAATCTGGAAAGAACAAGATCCAACGACGGCGACCAGGGTGTGGGTTTTCGGTTCATCTCCTGACCTCAAGGCCACTGATGATAGATGGATTCCTGATGATCATGCTGAAATGAAGGATTTGCAAGGTGCAGATGTTGAGGCCTTTTGAACGTTGTCCGCCCCACAAGTTGGTGATATGTGATTTGTTTAATTGTGCATGTTCAACAGAACCATCAACATCTTCCAACCGCAAATCCCATTTTCGCTCCCCACACCCAAGAAAGGGCGACCAAGGCTTCGAACAGCGACGAGGGGCTCCCCTTTCGGCTTCGAATTGATGAACATGCTATGCCGCCGGACATGGCTACGATGTCGTGCTCCAGTCGTCCCTTGTGGTACCGGTGTTTGGGGTTGGTTTGGAAGGTCCGAATCCCCTTTTTGTACTTGTACTTGGAGGCCGAACGGGGATGTCAGACGCCCTTTGGCAGCCTACTTTCCTTTACGAACGAACGAGGGTGATCCGATCTGAGTCAGCGTGTAGCTGCCTTGGCAGTTTGCTTCGCCGGAGGTGGCCACGGCAGACGAAGGGAACGAACGACGCCGCTGCGCGCGCCTTTGTGCCGTTCTGTTTGTGTTTCCTGATGTTTTCTGGGGCTCCAAGCTTCTAAGAAGGTCTTCGGGGTTGGTGCCACTAGGGTCTAACTAACTACCTTCTGAGATGTGGTTGGAGACGGAGCCCTGGTTTCCTCCTGCCAAGGCACTGCGCCGCGTTTTTGGGAGCTGTGCATCGCATGGTCATTTGCTGGCACACGCTGGCGGTTCCCGAGCCAATCCCCTGCAAAAATAAATTCAAGAAAGAGCACAAAATCTAGATCGAGCTTCCAATGGATGTCCAGCCAGGGGACCTATATAGTAAGCATTAATAATGATTATATATATATACTGTATATACAATAGTTTAATTCGATTTAATTTGTACTTTGGTCATCCTGAATTCTAAGCTTCAGACATTTCCAGAATATCAGGTGACCCCGAGCAAGAACAGAAACAGGTGGTTCAGACAGGTGACCCCCCAGCTGGCGCAGGCTACGAGGAGCGCCCCGGTACTGAACTGGGCGCCGGGCTCTTCCGCGCGGGCGCGGGCGCGGGCGCTGCGCCGGCCAGGCGGAAAGTGGTGCCTTGGAAGGTAGGAGGTGGAGCATGTTGGAGCCAAGGGGGATGGAGGGAAAAGGATGAAAAGGGTGGATGTCAAACTTCATAGATCTTAGGAGGTGTGTTTTCTATTTTTCTCGCTCTCCTTGGTGATGATAGACTTGGCAGGAGAATGCAGGAGAATTCTTGGGGAACCAGAGATGGCTTCCACGCGGGAGAATGTGACTTCTTAGCTCTGCCTCGCTAACCAACTGCTTAACCAGTGACCCCAGGCCACCCCTAGCCGTAGTAAGACCCTTCAAATTCAAAGGAAAGGCTGACCTGATTAGGTCGCCGGATTTAGGAACCGGGACTCCCCAGCAATGCTTTCTTCCACTCGTCGGTCACCTTCTCAGGTCGGCGGCGACTCGAACGTCGACGTCGAAGTCGCCCAGGTTCATGTGGATCACCACCACGTGCATCATCACCATCACTTCCACGGCGCGCAGAACGTCGACGGCCGCTGGGTTGAAAATCACCGTACCTGGGAGGGCGCGGGTGAAATCAGTGGTTGAAAGAGGGAGAGGGGTGCAGTATGGTGCAGTCAG